TGAAACCTGAAAATCTCTCTCAAAGTGACACGAGCCGCCACAATTGAGTTTCGACGATACATACGAAGCTACAGATCATGATGATGATGATGATCAATGATGGTAACGATGGTAACCAAGAGTGTGGTGTTGTTACCAAAATTAGGGACTGAAAGAGATAACGAAAAAGGAGAGAAAAACCGTTACGTTCGACACACGCACAATTGTACGAAGTGCGTTGCAGCGCCATTGCATATACGCAGATCAATGGCTAGCCATGGTTTTGGTTGTTTATCATCTATCGAACATTTCGATCAATGAACGCATTACTGGATCGACGGATCTAAAGTAATTCAACACAAAATAGGGGTGGAAAAGCACACTGCTTCGGGAGTGACAACAACCACGATAAGTCAGTGGTGATGCTCCACGAGCGATGTTTAGCACGTTAGCGTCTCAAACAGCAATGGAAAAGACCGATATTGGCAAACTCCAGAACCACATACATCGTAACCCTTCATGTATTGCACTAAAGTGTCTGCTTGGACAACCTATGGACAGTCATGTGTTGCCGCACCGATGTCAACTGTTACCTGTTGAATATGCTTATATGGCCAAAGTAGGTTGAACATACGGTTTGGTTTACCTTAACTAGTGCAAACACGGAAGCTTGGCAAGTTAACCTGTACCAATATAGCTCGTTCTGAAGAGCCGTTCTTAGCAAAGTAATGACCAAAACAGACAATACATGTACATAAAACCAAACAAACTGTGGAAACAATCCCAAAAACCCGTGAGATCGTCCATTAGTCTGTATGCTGTTAGTTTCATTTGAATCCGCAAACAGATTTTCCCTATCTGTGCTCATCATAGTATTGTCGTAAGAGTGATCAAACACTGGAAACATCATTCATCATAAATTATACCCTGTATGTCACACGAGGAAGTTGAATCCATCTTGGGTGTGTGGCTTATCCATTGTTTCAGAGGAATCGTACTCTCACGCAGAGAGAAAGGAAGTTGGACCAATAGAAGGTAAACAGACTGGTGAAGGTCACCAACGAATTCAATTAAATCCCATTGGTCATTATAATACATTCCACCATATCTTGGATACCACGATTAGGAGGACATGTAGGAATAACTATTATTGAAATGAACCACATTGTAAACGGATGCGGTCTTCACAACCCTTCGTCTTGCTTTATTCAAATACGCATTGGAGCACAATTAATTCAGTTTAATTGTGAAATACTTGAAAACCGGCAAGTAAAACGCATTCATGGTGTGACCACTTCAAAGGGACAAAGGTCAAAACGGATTTCCACGCGTTACGGATAGGTTATCGAATTTGAACGTAATCAAAGACCTCAGAGCTATTGGACAGTCAGTTGTTGTACAACGGATCAGGACAAACCACTGAATCCGAGACGAAGGGGTGGAAGAAAAAAGAGGTTGGAATCGAATAACCCGTGATTTTGAGACCAGCAGATCGGCACACAAGCACACATGCAATTACCTGCTGATAGCCACGTAGCTTGGCCCGAATTGGGATGGGTAAATTGTAAGTTTGGATACGATCTGGATGCAGTAGGCTGTCTATGAACTGGCGCTTCATCGCTCGCGCCAAACTCAGCGCTTCAGACATTCCAGGCGGATCGGGAAGGGAACTCTGAATAAAGGACGAGTGGAGAAGTCAGATAACTGAGTTGAGCAAACAAAAAACGGAACATAGGGATATGTATCGTTTGAGCAACTAAGAAGCCCTCTAGAAAGATAGATTGAGGAGAGCTGTACAAAGTCAATCGCAGATAAGTAATGGGAGAACTGAAAATCAGTAGGAGAAAAACACCGGTCTCCGTTTGACTATCAAGGACTTACCTCCAACGGGAACAATGTGAGCAGCGAAGTAAACAATCGACTGGCTAATACTCGAATTGTGCTGTCCGGGTCGGCTAACAGACGGAGAACAGGAGGGACAAGAACCACAATGTACGGTAGAAACGAGGTGAGCAATGGGGACAATTTAGGTTCGCTCAAATCCGCCACTCCTGCATCTGGTTGATCTACAGCATTTCCGGGACGAGGGCCACGGGAGTCGGGGCTGGCTAACGGATCAGTCTGATCTAGCTCAATCCACGAGGCCGGAATGGAATCTGCGGCAGATGTTTGACTGACATGTTCAACAATTGCTGAAAAGTGAAGGTAAGGTAGGTATGGCATGATGGAGTGATAAGTAGACGAGTAAAAAAAAAACGTTCGACCACTCATTAAAGCACTCTGCAATACAGATGAGGTAGACAAACCATACTGTGTAATAGTACATTTGGAGTGAGAACAAGGAACAGATGTACTGTGCTGTGAGCATGGGTGTAGGGTGACCCGGAGTGGAAATCATGACCTCGCGCTTTGACTGACGAAAGTACACAATTAAAATGCTCACATGCAATGAGGTATCGAAATCAGCAAAATTTCAGATCATTTACGCATGGATCAAGCAAAAGAATAGTCATATTCTATTTCACTGCCATTTGACACACTGTGTATGGGGAAATCTTTTCTCACACGATTTGGTTGCTATTTTACGACAGCTTGAAGCTCAGTGGGTGCAGGTATCTCGCAAGGCTCTCATGCTATCTCCCCACTCCACTCTCTTAATTCTTTTCCTTAGCGCTCGTTTATCACAAAATTCTAATCCCGTCAGTGCTTTTACCGATGATCAGATCTCATAATGGCAACATACCCCGCGTTTCTTATGCAACCATCCCTCGCACACTCGATCCTCCGGCCGTGTTCCACTCAATCCAGATTTGAGAAGCATTGCTGCTCAGGTTACTGAAGATCGAGTCATTTCTAATGCCACTCAAACATCTTGTAAATCTTTGAACAACACGAACGTACACAATTTGCTCCCAATTGGCATTTTCACTCTTATTTACTTGGCTTCACACCTGCAGTTCTACTAGGCCTACTTACCCAATAGCAAAGTTTACCGCCGGTCTTTAGGAAGACTTATACTTTTTCCATGTAGTTTTCTCATCGCTGCTCAACTTCCTACTGTTTGCAAGGCCCAAATAAACCCCACTATGCACTACGAGATCCATGTCTGGGTCTGGGCCTCCTCTTTATCTTTAGAAATTTGAATCATGTTCAGCGTTAACATTGAACAGTCCTCCACCACTGACTCATTTCCGTATAATCGCTTCTTACCTTTTAAAACAACGGATTATTTGTGCTACGAAGCTCGCCGATTCGGTCCCACCCTTCAATTTACTTGCTCATGAGACTCAGTCACTAACGTTAGTTGCCAGGAGACCTTTAAAACCCGTCGAACGGCGACGGTTGTATCCCATTTTTTTTCTAAGAATGGCGGAACTCTGGAACAACCTATCATATACTATTTTCTTCCTTGTGAGGACTTCCTACATCCAAGCTCAAAAAGGTTGCTGTTTGAATTGTTTCCCCGTCCCCAAAGTACACGCAAACTTTATGGGTACGGATAACGATTCACTGCCCTAAATTGCAATGGGCTTTATAAACTTGTGGAGTACTTGTCATTTCCTGTGCCCTCCTGGGACGAGTGTACGAAAATGATAGAATCTTAGGGTGCCCCAAAATGTTCTAGGCGAGTTAGCATCGGCAGCGAGAAATCGGAACGGTTATTGAGTATGAGAAGAATAAATAGACGTGGCGTACGTGTCTATACGGTCGATCGGGTGCGAGTAGATAAAATCCCCATACGCTGTACTAGACACTATTCAACGCACAAGTTCCAAGGCGAAACCTGGATAAAAATCCTGACTAGCACGAGCTACAGGGCGAACTAGGCACGTCGAAGTCTGAGTAGACGAGATCTGATGAGTTACAGCACAGATGCAAATGAGGTGTAGTTGCGATTTTGCACCGATGCGTTGTGCATATCGCTAACACCACAACAACAAAGTCCGGTAACATCCAGGTTGTTGATATAATCATTGACTGAAGAATGGAGAGGATAGCCAACTGGGTAATTCACTTATTAAATGTATCCCATACCGCACATGCTCGGATCACACATGCTACGCTTCATCTAATCTCAATTTCAGTGTTTCACCCTATGCATGTTATGGGAAGAGAACCAGTAATATAAGTGTCAAAATTAAATTGATCAGGATGGTATCATAACATACCGGTTAGAGCTTCCAACGTTCCCGTACACGCGGGAGGGGCTGATGATGAGACGTTAGTGGAAACCTCACTATCGGATGTATCCACGGAGGAAGAGGCAGACTTTTTAACAGTGGCAGGACTGTTTGAAACAACTGGCTCTAAATAGTCCAGGAATAACGGTAAGAGTAAGTTGAGCGTCTCAACCGGTTGCGCCATAGTCAACGAGGCCAGCAGTTTAGCGCCCAGTGCACGCATTATCGTGGATCGTAGAGCAGTGGTGAGAACACCCAGATAGACTATTTGATCAAAAGTCATAGGGAACAGTTCAGTGGAATGTCCCGGCTCCAAGGTCGAGTTCAGATGTGGAAGCAAGACAGGAATGCAGGTGGACAGGGTCAGTAACCCTGTGCATACAACTTCCTCATCCGGTTTGCTGATTCGTATCTCACCCATTCGACTGATCGCATCAGCTAGAAAAAAGAGAGTAGTGGACACCATTATAGTTTGTTTCAGTGCAGAAAAAGGTGACAGGAATGAATAGCTACCGAAAAAGATTACAGCGGAATGTATAAACAAGAGCTCAACAAGAGAACAAAAAAGCCCCGCGAATATTTCTTCTATTCGATAGATTGAGACATTGAAAACAGATATGTACAACATTCTGTATCTGTACCGGTGTGGATTTCATAACTCGCGAAAATGTCATACCATTCCCGGGGTTTTCATTCTATCTTTACTTGCACAGACACGGACGGGACCATGATCAGTTGAGGAAGAATTCCAGATGAGTGACAAGTAACACCGAGTTGGTCACGGAGAAATAATGAGGAAAAAAGTGCTTATAATTCCAACTCAATTTTCTGGATAAAGAATAGGGATACAGACTGGGGACAGTTTTCTTTTTGTAAAGACTATCGCATCGGGATTGGTTTGGTAAACAGTCTGAACTCCGACGTGTGTGAAACACAAAGATGATTAACAAGGGGACTGGGGTCATTTCGAGCTGCCTAAGGAATACACAAAGAAAACCCAAACCCTTGTTCGTTGTGTGTCTAAGCGAAGTGACAAAACAGGCGCTAATTAACCGGAAAGGAATAACCGGTGATTCGGTTTGGATCCAAATCAGCTGATCGTGGGAGGTCACGGAGATGCTGTGAAACCACTGGAGTGTATTGTCAATTTCATTTTGATCATCACATGACCGAAAGCAAACAGAGACCTTGATTTTAAAAAGACCAAAACAATAACCCTATTTAATGAATTGGAGTATTCAGGAAATAGTATGGAGTAGTGAAAAATCGGAGACCCTAATACGAATA